GCAGGGAGCCCAATGCGGGGCTCGATCCCAGGACCCTGGGATCATGACCTGAGCCGAAGGCAGACGCTTAACCATCTGAGCCACCCAGGCGCCCCAGGGGTAAATGGTCTTAACATCTGTCTTCAACATTTCAAAGTGGGCTTTCCCTGGAAGTCAGGCCCCCAGCCTCTCAGCACAGAACAGCTGAGCTCTGTAAAGACTCAACCGTTGGCCTTCTTGTCCTCTGCTGGCTTTATTCAGGGACAGGGTCCAGGGCTGTACCGGGTGCGCCTGTGCTCCTCAGGGCTGCTGGCCTCCTGGTGGAGGACCTGCTGGTCAGGTTGAGTGACCCAAGCCAACAAGGAAGCAAAATAACCTAAACTCCGAAGGAGGGGGAGGAGGGTTCTCGGATTCACCACAGACTGGAGGATTGACTTGGGGCCTGAAGCTATAGGTTGGTCAGGCCTGGGAAGAGGTCTAAAGCCAGTCGTTTTCACCCGTTTTGACTTAAGTCCCAAAAGTAGGTTCCAGAAAACCCTGGAGGTAGGATGTAAGGTTCAGAGCAGACCCCTGGCAAGATGCGGGCACTTTCCACTCCACCATCTTCAACAGTGATAAGGGGTAAGTTGATGCATAGCTCTCTCCTAAACTAGAGAGAACTCCCAAAGCAGACACAGTACAGCACACAAAGTTCCTGCAGTCCCGGGGTCTCAGCTCAGGGCTGTCTTCTCCCTTTTTCCTCGGATTTTTCCTGAGTGGTCAGACCTCCCTGTCTTTGGCTTTCCTGGCTCTCCTGTGTAGGCTGGCCTCAGAAATGCTCATCCTTGGGCGCCTGGGTGGCTCAGTGGTTAAGCAACTACCTTCGGCTCAGGTCATGATCCTGGAGTCCCTGGATGGAGTCCCGCGTCGGGCTCCCTGCTCAGCGGGGAGTCTGCTTCTCCCTCTGACCCTCTCCCCTCTCATGCTCTCTCTCTCTCTCTCTCATTCTCTCTCTCAAATAAGTAAATAAAATCTTAAAAAAAAAGAAAGAAAGAAATGCTCATCCTTGAGAGGGAAGGAGAAAGAGGCTGTGTGCGGCAGGATTCTGCCTTTGGCCAGGATCCCAGCCCCTCTCCCAGGATGTGTCTCCTTGAGCACAAGCTCTCAGGTGTGTAGGGGCCCGGACTTGGATTTCGTGATGACTTGAGTCCTCTTGAGATCATGGGGGTGTTAAGCTGTGGGACATCTGAGGAGGGCAGGAAAAAAAATGGACCAGAGGGGAAGCTGAGGCCTCATCTGGAAAAGGAACCTATTTGAAGTTTGCATTCGGTTTACTGGTTGAATGAACAGGCCTCTGCTGATTTCCCAGAAAGTCACAGACAAAAATGGTGGGTCCCTGGTGGAAAATTAGGAAAGCTTTCCGGAGGTGGGGTGCCTGGCCAGGACATGGACGATGATAAAAGGAGTTGAGACTTTGTCCTGAGGGCAGTAGTGAACCATGGACACGTTTTCATCAAAGAGGGACATGGCTCACTTCGCCTGGCTGGTGAAAGGCTGAAGAGAAAGGGGAACGGAGAAGTAGGAGGCCACATCGCTTCAACTTCTCTTTGGGGTCCTCTTCTTACCTGGGGAAAGCCTCTGGAATGAGGTGCTGCCTGCCCTGGCCCACCACGGAGCTTCAAGACGGTACAGGGCAGGAGCAGGAGCTGACCTGGAGGCTTCGAGAAGGCCTCTGCAGGGCCCTGTGTGAGGGCCCCAAACCACCCCCAGAGTCAAGACTGCGGGCTCTGACAGCCCAGCGCCAGGCCAGGCAGTAATCAGAAGCAGGGCTGCATGTGACAGCATTGCCAGCCCTGCCTCAGCCCCGCCTCAGTCAGCAGAACATGTGGGTCTAGTCTTGCTTTGCATCCCTGTTGACGAGTGCCATGCCTTCTTTGAGACAGAAACCTAGGGCTAAGAACAGAGGCCCAGAGTAAACTGCCTCTTGTTGGCAGGCATTGGAGAGGGAGGTGTTTCTTCTCCACCTTCCTCATCCCCAGAGCCTCAGCCAGTTCCACTGTTGACACTCCAGCCAGTTCTCTTGCTACATGTGTGGTTCCTCCCACTGGGTTTACCTCACTCTGCCAGAGTGAGCTCTTTTGTCACCAGCTTTAAATGTGCTCCTGTGGGGTCCAGCCAGGTTTCTCTCCCTGCCAGCCTGACCCTGTTGAGCTCTAGACAGGGGACAGTGGGACTCTCACAGAACCCAGGCTGTATTTCTCCCTCATTCCCCCAGACCGCCACACACCAGAACTACCCACATAGCTTCCCGGAGAAACCCAGCTCCTGTCCTTTGGCCCCCATTGCTAGGGATGGGGATAGCTGGGGAGCCAGGGAACACAGACAGCCCCAGACCTTCTCAGAGCCAGCATCTTCAGGGTGGGACTGGGAGAAGCAGGAGCTGGGCAGAGGGATCCCACGCAGCTGGAAAAGCTGACCTAGCTGTTGTGCTGGTCTCCTAGCAACAGCCACCAGCAGCCCCCAGTGACCAGAGCAGTGCTGGGCCGGCCTAAGGGCTCTGACCTCACTGTGTTTGCTGTAGCAACAGCCACCAGCAGCTAACTCCCTTTCCTCCAGGAAGCCAAGCATTTGCATTTCTGCTGGCCTGGTTCGGATGCTCTTCTTCCCTTCCCCAAGCCCAGCAATAAGGGGAGGGAGAAGCCGTCTCAGAAACACTCGCCAAGTGTGTTCTCAGCACCTCCGTTCCAGGGTGTCTGAGCAGCCATCCCTCAGAGTCTAGCCACTTCCCAGGACAGGGGCTGGCTATTAGGAGCCCAGTCTGCTCCGCCCCGTCTCCCCCCATCCTGCAAAGCTGCAGGGACTAGCGCTCTTGACAGCATTGCTTCTCTTCTTTGCCCCCTTGTCAGCACCTTGACAGGGCAGGTCTGCCTCTTGGAAAACCTCCAGGGGGTGTTTATCCCTGTCCCTTGGGGTTCGAGGCAGTCAAAATAGGATCACTTCTTCGGGCAAGAACCGTGGAATGGGTTGTCCACAGAATGGTTTAGGGCCACAGTCACTCTGGCTTTTGTGCCAGGAGAAAACCTCATTATTTAGCTGGAGGAGGCCAAATTCTATCTTGCTATGATCAGATGCCACCTTCTGCTTTGCTTTTAGGAGTGAGTCCAGGAAGAGCAGTGGGGGGAGAGACTTTTCCTCTGTAACCTGATGTGCCTCTTAACCATTTGTGGCCCAAGGCCTCTCCATGGGCCAGTCCTCAGGGCCCAGATCACAGCATGGATATGTGCTTGCGGTATACATGGTCTCCCTGTCCTTGAAGGCTGGGACATTTTCCCTGGGGAACAGGGAGGAACATCCCCGCCTGGTGTGTGTGTGTCAGGACTAGGGGTCTGATTGGTTTAGAGAACAGCTGCACCCACCGCCCAGATCTCCCAGCAGATGTGCACTGGGGTCCCTGGCCTCTGGCTGACCCACAGCCCAGCTTCCTGTTCCATGTCTTGGGAGAGGATCTCTTGTGACTTGACTTTTCTTCGAATTTAACTTTCCTTGGTCCTTTCCGTTGGGAAGTCTCTCCTGGGACACTGTCAATCCTGTTGGCCCTATTTTCAGATCCACCCTATGTGTGTTGACTTGGAACTTTCCCTGCCCCCTTCCTGCCACATGCCAGACATTTTCACATCTGCAAATCCTCACCAGAGCCAGAAGAGCCAGAAGGAGGGTGATCTGATCCCTGTCTTTCAGAGGAAGAAATTTGAGACGCAGGCTAATTAATTAGGTGACTCGTCTACAGCCTCACAAATAGTAGAAGGCACAGCTGGGATTTCAACCCCGAGCTGCTTCCCCAAAGCCTGTGTTCTCTCTACCCTGTCTTTTTTTTTTTTTTTTTTTTTTTAAGATTTTACTTATTTGTTTATTTAGAGTGTGAGCAGGGGGAGGGAGAGGGAGAGAATCCCAGGTGGACTCTAGGCTGAGCACAGAGGCTGACTCGGGGCTCGATCTTACAACCGTGAAATCACGACCTCAGCCAAAACCAAGGGTCAGATGCTTGACTAATGGAGCCACCCAGGCGCCACTGTCCCTGCCTTTCTGATGGGAAGTCGCTATAGCTTGGTCTTCTCTGGCTTCACATCTACTTTACAGTGAGGCTAGTCATGGCACACCTCCCTCCCCAATAACGGCCGTAACTACAGTGGCTCCCAGTTGTTGACTTGGCTGTGAGCCAGGCCCAGGGCTAACCAAGGGCTTTTACCCACATGAACTCCAGCAGGCTTAATAGTGACCCTCTGACATTCATACTTTTCTCCCTTTTCAGGGCTTGAAACTCATTAAATGCGCAGTGGGTTGATTTTATAGACAAGTAGGCTGATTGGCACTTGTTCACCCAGAGCCACGTGGGTGTGACCTGAGCAAGTCAGATTAGAGCCGGGGTGTGCCAGGCCACTGTACACATGCACACACTCTCTCTCCGCCATGCTGGAGGCTGCCTCTAAACCCCCAGTCAAGGACTTCTTCGCACCAGGACATTTGCTCTGTCATCCTTTTCTGTTCCATCCTCACCAGCCCTGGCAGGGAGGCTCTTCATCTCTGTTTTCCAGATGAAGCAACTATAAGGACTGGCCAGAGTGAGTTAATGGCCACACTAGGACTTGACCCGGGGCTTTTCCACCCTGCCAGGCTCTTGCTTCAAAATACAGTATTTTTGTGTGTGTTTGCCCCTTTACGACTGCTCCCCGCTGTGGCTTCTCCCTTGAGTCCCTCTCAGAGCCTCTACAAGTTCAAAGGTAGGTACTCCTCATCACTCCAGTTGTATTGACTGTCTGAGTTTAGATAAGAGTGGATACCCATACAGGTTTCTGGGTCCCACCTCCAGAGATGGGTTTGGAAATTCCGAGTGGCGTTAGGGCTGCTCTCTTTTTCAGTAGCATCTAGGTGGTTTTGGTGTATGGGCTGAATCCGGGGAGCCCTGGGGGTCCCATGGTGTAGGCCCTGGTTCCGAAGGGCCTGGCAGGTAGGAGGTACTCCGTAAAGGGAAGCTGTTGGCAACTGCGGCTCTTGGTCAGGTGTGTTCTAGAGCACCACTTTGTGCCACCACTGGCCCAGCACGCACCTGCACATCTCCCAGAGGAAGTGAGCAGAACGTTAGCAGCAAAACTGCACTTGGGAAAAGCACAGGCTGTTGCCTTGCCCAGCTCCGTGGTTAAAAGCCTGTGGTTGAGGCTGATGCTTTAGAGAAGGACTGAGGGAGTAAAAGAACCACAGTATTGATGACAAGAATCCATACAGCTGTCAGAAAGGGCTGGTTAATTATGGCAACCATCCTGTAAGTACTATGTAGCCATTAAAAGAGAACACTGGCATGGAAAAGTGTTAGAGAAACGTTAAGTGAAAAAGCCTTCAAGAGAGTATGTAGCATGATTCCGCCTTTGTTATTTTGTTTGTTTGTTGTTGTTTAGAGATTGTACTTATTTATCTGAGAGAGAATGCCAGCAGGAGAGGGCCAGGAGGGGCAGAGGGAGGAGAAGCAGACTCCCCGCTGAGCAGGGAGCCAGATACGGGACTCGGTCCCAGGACCCTGGGACAATGACATGAGCCGAAGGCAGACACTCAACTGACTGAGCCACCCAGGCGCCCCTCCAGTTGTGTTAAAAATCACAGAGATCTCTGCTGGCTTCAGCAGCACATACACTAAAATTGACTCCTGTGTGAGGATGACCCACAGATTCGTGAAGCGTTCCATATTTTAACTGAGCGCTTTCCCACGTGTACCTCTAAGATGTTCCCATTATGTCTCAAAGTAAATGCTTTAAGAAAGATAAAAAGATTACACAGATCTTTTTAGAAATACATGTATTCAGTACAGGTCATCTCTGGGAAGGAGGACTGGCAGCGGATGAAGGGATTCTTAACTCTGCCTTGTACTCTGAAGTTTTTACCATGAGCCTGTGTTACTTTTATTTTTTTACTTTTTTTAAGATTTTATGTATTTGACAGAGAGAAGGAACACAAGCAGGGGGAGTGGGAGAGGGAGAAGCAGGCCTCCTGCTGAGCAGGGAGCCCGATGCGGGGCTTGATCCCAGGACCCTAGGATCGTGACCTGAGCCGAAGGCAGACGCTTAACGACTGAGCCACCCAGGGCGCCCCATCCTGTGTTACTTTTAGAATTGGGGGGAGGATGTAAGGTGGCATACTAAGAACAAATAGGGGTTAAAAGCCCAACCGCTGGGAACCCCTTGTCCTGTGACTGTCAGCAGCCACTTTCCCAAGTCCGTTTTCTGAGGATGGGCTCAAGAATCTTAAAAGCAGGGGCACCTGGGTGGCTCAGTCGTTAAGCGTCTGCCTTCGGCTCAGGTCGTGATCCCAGGGTCCTGGGATCGAGCCCCGCATCGGGCTCCCTGCTCAGCGGGAAGCCTGCTTCTCCCTCTCCCACTCCCCCTGCTTGTGTTCCCTCTCTTGCTGTGTCTCTTTCTGTCAAATAAATAAAATCTTTAAAAAAGAAAAAAGTATCTTAAAAGCACAAAAAGAGCAGCTACCTGAGTTTTTCTGCTTTGGAGAACTAGCGTACTTTTCTCAGTTCCTGGCATACATAATACCTGACAGGAAAAAACCCAAGTCGTAATGTACCATCTCTTGCCTCTTCTGTTACCTACCCCTAGACAAATGTTTATGGATCAGCCCAGAGGCGAAAAATGAGACCATTTGAAGGCTTCCAGCGCAAAGCCATTGTAATTTGTCCCACTGATGAGGACCTAAAAGACCGGACAATAAAGCGAACCGACGAGGAAGGGAAGGATGTCCCAGATCACGCGGTCCTAGAAATGAAAGGTAGGAGATGAGCGGTTCCCAGGGGCCCAACACAACAGAGTCCTCCAGAGAAAAGCTCCTTCCACAGTCCCTTCCTCCCCAGCTCCTGGCTTACTCCTTTTTGGATCTTGTCCGTTCTTCCCTTCCTCCTGTTCTGCCCTTCCCTGTCTGGTGCAGCTGTGAACAGAAGAGCTGCCAGCAGTCTCTTGGGGCACGGTTTTCAGACTTGCTGGGGCTGGGGCTGGGGCAGGATGCGGGAGAGGATGTGAGGGAGCAGACGCTGAAAATCCCGCACAGTCACTGTGTCTGGCTCCCTCTGGTGCAGTGCTGAGCTGGCCTTTGTCCGCTCCTCTGTAGAAAATAAGGATGCTGATTCCACCTGCCTGGCCCACACCCTGGGGAGGCTGGAGGGAGTGTTTATATTTGGTGGGGCTTAGGCCACCTCTTCAGAAGAGAGACAGGAGGGTCTTTGTTAACCCCTGAACATTGTCAGAGAGGTTGAGACCCTTTCACGCTTCTGTCATTCACTGCTCGTCCCCTCTGCCATCTCCCTTCTAGCAGGCCACTGTCCTGAGGGTGTAGGGAACCAGACCACAGAAGGTACTGACCTCTCTCTGCTCCCTCTGGGGCCCTGCCTTCTTCCTAGCCAACTTCACATTGCCAGACGTCGGGGACTTTCTGGACGAGGTGCTGTTCATTGAGCTGCAGCGGGAAGAAGCAGACAAGCTGGTGAGGCAGTACAACGAGGAAGGTCGCAAGGCCGGGCCACCCCCTGAAAAGCGCTTTGACAACAGAGGCGGTGGTGGCTTCCGGGGCCGCGGGGGTGGTGGTGGCTTCCAGCGCTATGACAACAGAGGCCCACCAGGGGGCAACCGAGGAGGCTTCCAGAACCGAGGGGGCAGCAGCGGTGGAGGAGGCAGCTACCGAGGAGGTAAGACATCTCAAACAGCTCTCTCGGCTTTTGGCTCCCGGGACAGGGTTGAGCTTTGTGACTGCTTACTCAGTCAGCAGGTGAATTTCCCTAACACCAGCTGTGGGCTGAATTCCGGCGGAGAACCTCGGTGAGTTAAACTCTGGGCCCTCAGGGGAACTCTCCCACTGTCCTGCTTCCCCTGGGCATTGCTCCTGAAGCCCATGCCCCTTTGCAGGTCACTCTGGTGTCGTTTTTGCAATTCTTCCCTGCCATTTGACCATAAGCGCCTTAAGAAGAGCGGCCAGACCGAGTTTACTGCCAGTCTTAGGTTCCAGCTCAGGAGCTAGCGCAAGACAAATGCCAGGACTGTTTTTGGTTGTTTGGTATTAAAACAAATAGAGAAGTGGGCTGAAGGAGGTTAATTTGCCCCAGACAGACACATCCGCCTATAGTGGCCGTCCAGAAGGCTTCTGGGCCGAGTGGCAAAGCCCTGGGTTAGCGTGAGCTTGGGTGACACCTGATCCAGCCTGGGAGGGAGCAGGCTCAGGAAAGGCCTCCCAAGACACCAGTGTCTAGGCTGAGGTCCAGAGACCAGTGGGAGTTGGCAGGGGGCAGGGTTCTGGGCCCAGCCACAGCAGCTCAAGGGCTTAGGAGAGACTTACCCATTTGACCAAGCCTGAAGAGGACTGTCCTGGATGCTTAGTTTTGTCTTCCTGACCACCTCTTCTGATTTGTTCAGTAGCTGTCGGGATGCTGGGGACACAGTAGAAACCCAAGCAGCCCTGGTCCCAAGCTCACAGTCCGGTGGGCAAGACAAGCCTGTCAGCAGACAGTGATGACTGAGTTACAGGGCTGCACAGGGGGCATGCCTGGGGATCTGGGGAGACCCAGAGTGGAGCCCCGCTCCTGAGGGTCACCAGTTCAGAGTGACAGGGCCTCTCCCCTGGCTTCTCCGACGCAGGCTTCAACCGCAGTGGAGGTGGTGGCTACAACCAGAACCGCTGGGGTAACAACAGCCGGGATAACAACAACTCCAACAACCGAGGCAGCTACAACCGGGCTCCCCAGCAACAGCCACCACCCCAGCAGCCGCCGCCGCCACAGCCACCGCCCCAGCAGCCGCCGCCGCCACCCAGCTACAGCCCTGCTCGGAACCCACCGGGGGCCAGCAGCTACAACAAGAACAGCAACATCCCTGGCTCGAGCGCCAATACCAGCACCCCCACTGTCAGCAGCTACAGCCCTCCACAGGTGAGAGGACACACATGCACGTACGCAGGCCAGAGGAGGTGGGCCCAGGGAATGGCCAACAGGCACTCCGGCCAAGGCTCTCCATTCTTCACTTCAGCCCTGCCCTTCTTCCTGGCAGTGCTTTTGACTGTGATGGACCCTAGGCTTTCCTTCCAGACCCAGATTAATCGGGACCCTACTTGTTCTCCCACCCCCTCACAGTCATGTGCTATGAGTGTTGGTTGCCCCAGCAAGTACATTTCTCGGTGGTGTCACTGGCCTCTACTGAATCCCCAAGAAAGCACTTGATTGGAGTTACTTCTGCGTAGGCTGGCAGGGGCTGACCCCCTTATCTCCAGCATATGGAGACAGGCCCTAAGCTTGGGAGGTCTTGCCCAGTGTTCTGAGAACTTCACTCTGGAGCAGCTCCTGGCTCGGTTCCAGTTCTCCAAAAGCTGGTGCTCAGGCTCTGGAATGCACAGGCCCCTGTTAACCAGAACAGTCCACAGCCGTTTCCTGAGCGCCTTCCACATGCCAGGCCTGGGGACAGCTGCCAAGAGACAGATGAATGGCTCCCAGTCCGGGTCTAACCAGAATGTTTCCTAGAACAGGATGGGTAGGCACAGATTCAAACCCCAGCCCCACAACATCTCGGTTCTATAACCTTGCACAAACAGTTTCACTTCCCTGGACCTCATTTTCTTTATAAAAGACTATGGAGTTGTTGGTAGAACTCATTTGCGAGGTTTGTTGTGAGGGATGGGTGGTATTTTAGCCTTGTGGGTAAGGTTCTGGAACAAGACAGACCGGAGGTCAAGTCCCAGCTCCACCACTTTTTACTGTGTGACTCGGGTCAACTAATTTCACCTCCCTGAGCTTCAAGTTCCGAACCTCTCTGTAAAATGAGGCTAGTGGAGCCTGCCTCACAGAGTGGATGGGGGAGTTAGGTGGGTTAATGATACAGTCTGCACGTGGGCAGCACTTGGGAAATTGCTACTACTGTTCTCAGCAGACCTTTTCCCAAAACAACTACCACCATTTATGGAGTGCCCAGTGGCCCAGTGGCCTGTGCACTCAGGCTTCCTAAATATGCAAGGCAATCGGAAGGGGTAGTTCTGTTGTAATTCTCATTTTACGGCGGGGGGGTGGGGGAGGAGCAGTGGAATTTCAAGAGATTGCTGTGTGCCTTGCTCCCCCAGGATCTTAGAGCTGAGAGTAGAGTCCAGACCACAACCCTCCCTCCTTCCCTGTCCCACCATGTCACAGAGCTGACCCATTTCCTCAGCCTTCAAACAGCCTCCACCAGGGAAGTTCCTTTGTGGTCCACTGCTTACAAAGGCCCTTACTCTGTCCCAGCTCAGCTGTTTCATAGCACCCTGGTTTCCACCCCCCCTTTACAGCCGAGTTACAGCCAGCCACCCTACAACCAGGGAGGTTACAGCCAGGGCTACACAGCCCCACCACCTCCACCTCCACCACCACCTGCCTACAACTATGGGAGCTATGGCGGCTACAACCCGGCTCCCTACACCCCACCGCCGCCCCCCACCGCACAGACCTACCCTCAGCCCAGCTATAACCAGTATCAGCAGGTAGGTGCCAGACTTGGGGTGGGGAGCAGGGGGAGGGTGGGCATAGAGACTTCCGGGGGGACCCGCATGGATGTGTATTCCCAGACTGGAGTCCCTGTTTATTCCTACAGAGATGGGCTGGCCTCAGGCTGGCATTCATCTGATGTAGCTATTCCACTTACTGAAATTTCTGCACTGGCTGCGAAATAACTGGTATCCGAACCTCTTCTCCCCGGTGAAGCCACTAAATGGCCTAGCGGGGCCTCCGAATCCTGCTTCAGCACCATGGCCAGTGTCCATTCCCCTTGGCTGGTGCTGGGCCGTCATACCTGGCTCGGTTCCAGTTCTCCAAATGTGGTATCTACCTGTACCTGGAAGGACATTAGGTTGGCAAGCCAGGAGGTCTGGGCTTCAGTCCCTGACTCCCCACCCATGGGGCATCAGGTCGGTCACTTGTCCTCCCAAGGGACCTTGATTTCTCTGTCAGGGGACCCATGTCAGTGCACTCATCTCTGACCTGCGTGAGAGTGGGGTCAAGGCAGGAGCCAAATGTGGGTTGGGTAAGGACAACGTGGTGCTCTTGGTTTCTCTCTCCAGTATGCCCAGCAGTGGAACCAGTACTATCAGAACCAGGGCCAGTGGCCACCATACTACGGGAACTACGACTACGGGAGCTACTCCGGGAACACACAGGGAGGCACAAGCACACAGTAGCCAGTGTGCTCCGGAGGCCCCTGCCGGCTTCCTCCACCAGCGCCCACCTTGGCCCCCTCGTCTGCCCACACTGGGTCCTGCGGTGCCGGGGGACGGGTTATCCCAGGGCTGCCTCCTTTCAGCCCACTGCCTCCCCTCCGAGGGGCTTCTTCCCCAACACAGGGCCGGGCATTTTTCTCTGGATTCAAACAGGCAACAATGACCTTTTATTTTCTGTTTGTCCCCTCACCTTCTTTCCTTCCCCTCCTCCTCTTCTTCCTCCTCCCCGCCTCCTTTTTGACTAAAGATCCCTCCCCCTTGGTCATACAGTGAGGCTACAGTGGCTGAGGGAGGTCCCCTTCTGCCCACCTCTCCCAGCCCTGCTCCAGCCCCTCAGCTTCCCAGACCCTCATGCAGTTGGTTGTACATTCTTCCAGGAGCTGTTTTACTGTCTACTTTTCAGGATTTAAAAAAAAAAAAAAAAAAAAAAAAAAAAAAAAAACTTAAAAAAAAAAAAAACAGACCGACACAAAAACCCAAGTTTAAAAAGTAAAATGCGGAGGGAGGAAGCAGTGACAGATATTTTTTGGTAATTATGCTTTTTTTTTTTAATTTTTAGAATTTCTCTGTTTTTACTGTGGCTGTTGATATTTCATCAGGATAACCATTTCTTTGCTGAGTTCAGGTGACTGAGGAAGAGCCACACCCTCAAAACAAAACACACACAAAAACAAAACCACAGAATCATCTTTAACCTAACTTTTTATACGATGTCTCAGTTTCCCGTAACCTTGCACACAAGCTTCTGTGTTGAGTTGAATTGTAACTGCTTTTTGTATTTGGAGAGAGTGTGACTATTGAACTTGAAACCTTTTATTCCGGGCGTCTTGGTAGTTTCTGGTGGGATTAAGCGGGCGAGAGGGAAGAAGGGGAGGTTGCGGCGGGGGGGGGGGGCTCCTTCCCTTCAGAACATGAAATTTCTCCCACCGCCTCCTCTCCAGAGATCTTCCAGGTGCCAGACCTAAAGGTTTTTCCTACAATGATCCTTTGATTATTTTTACTCCCCCTTGACCCGTATGTTTTAACAGAATTTTAACAAACTGCACTTATTAAGAAATGTGTTTGCTTTGTTTTGTTTTCTTTCAATAAATGACATGGCACCTCCTAGCAGGAACGAAGCAGGGTTGAAACCCTGAAGTATTACTGCAGTTGGCCTTTAATTGGGGTGGGACGTTTTCAGAGGGGACATTATTTACTCATCCTTTAAACACTTACTGAGGGTTTCATGTGCCTGGCCCTGTTTTTGGTGCTGGGGCTCTCAGTTTAAAATCCACTTTCATTTTAAAGTAGTTCTCTGGTCCCTCCTCTTGTCCATTCACAGCCCCAATTCTCTCCAGGAATTTGTGACTAGAAGGCAGGGCAGGTCCCTAGGCGGAGGGTGAGGTAGGGCTGATGGGATGGAGACCAGGGCTGGATTGTTTGGGGTCCTCATGGGGTGTGACTGCCCATCCACCTCGGTCCTGGCCTTGGGTGCTGGACTTAGGACGTGTCCTACCTGCAGTCCTGGATCCAGGCTAGTGGGGATTCCAGGAACTTCTTTATCCAGCCACTATGTGTTAGGTGCTTGCCTTGTGCCTCACTCTCTCTGGACAGTGCTGGGGATACAGCACAGTCAGGGCAGTCCTGAGCCCAGCTCTCACGGGTCTCCCAGTCCAGACGTAACACAGACTTGCCATCAGATGGTGACAGCACCAAGTGGTCAGCTGTGAAAGCCTGAGGGTTAGGAGTGTAGTAAGGGGAGGTCTTCTGGAGAAGGGAACAATTTTTTAAGTAGCCAGGGTAGTTTGTGTTTGCATCTCCATGTAGCCTAGTGTCCTCTCCCGGCAACTGGAGTCATTTCTTTATCCCCTCTGGATATGTGGTGTTCCCAGTGATATTGTGAGGGCCAATGCTGGGGCACAGAAGTGCCAGTTGAGCCCCATCCCTTGCCTAACAGGAAGTACCTCAGAGCCTTATGAATGGTACACAGGCTGCAAAAGGAGGAGGAAGGCAGACTAGTTTTGAGGTCAGGGATGAGGCATCTGAATGTGAGACGGAGCCAAAATTGGTGGCTAGTTGGGCTAAAAGGGACCCTAGAGTGCCCCTCTCTGCCTGCTCAGGGAGAGCAGGAGGGGAAGGGCCGCAGATCTCTCTGGAAAGTCCCCTTCCTTGCTGGTCCACGTGTTGGGCAACAGCACCCTCTGCTGGCTTCTCTGAGTAAATTCTTAAATTTAGTTCCCACCCATCCGGTGTGGCAAATGGGCCTCTAGGTCCCTTATCCTGGCAATGCAAATGGGAAGTTATTTCTCTGCTCCTGTCCAGTGTCTGGATCATTGCACCAGCCTCCTCACAGATCTCCCTTACCTCCAGTCCCTTACCCTCATGCTTTCCCCCTCCTGCCTGCTATCCGAAGGATAAAGGAACTCAAGCTACTTAGTGTGGCTTAGAGAGGCCCTGTGTGCCTGACCCCTGGTGACCTCTCTGGCTTCATATTCTGGTGCTCCCCCTTTGAACCTCAGATTGGTGGTTGGTTCTGGGGGAGTCACAAATCTCAATCCAAATGCCATCAGCTCTGCTTTGGAAAATACACATGTACATGGAATTTTGCATAAATATTCAAGAGGTTCTCAAATACTCTGCAGCCCAACCGTGGCCTTCCAAGTTAGAACATTTTCATTCCCTGACCACACAAGTCCTTGGCAGTAGCCAGAAAGATCCATGCCTGCCTTCCCCTCTGGGTCTTTGCCTTGCCCTTCCTGCTGCCTGAAACCTTCCTCTTTAATTCCTGCTCATCTTTTAGGTCTCAGCTTGGGTGTCCTCTCCCAGAAGGAAACCTTCCCTGACCCTCTAGGCTGGGGTGGACAACCCCATCAGAGCCCGGGCCACTCAGGGTGGTCACTTGTGATATGTCTGTCGCTTTGTTGGTAACACACCTGAATTGAGTCACTACCATCACCTGGAGCAGATCAGGACCAGGGTTGTCCCCGTTCACATCTGCAAATTCTTCAGGTCCTGGAACACAGTAGGAAATTCTATCTGAGCTCACCACCCATCATGCTAGCCAGGGACTGGCTTTGATCACAGAGGCAAGAAACAAAGCTTAGTAGATACTTTTTGAGGTGGTGACGGAAAAGGGGGATGGATTGGAGTCTAAACCAGAGCACAAACCCTCAAGAGGCTCTGCGCGGTGGCCATTCAACCATCCATCCCAGAAGTAAGCATGCCAGGCTCTGGAGTCCCGGCAGTGAACAGGTTGTACGATAGTTCAGATCCCCCCCGATAGTGCAATTCAGTAGAGGTCAGATGGGGGCGGGGGGAGGACGTGGAAGAGCCTCTGACTCGGGCGCCCTTTACGTTCCCGGCGGCGGGGGCGGGGGGGGGGGAGCGGGACCTGAGGGAGACACGCATGCGCATAGGAAGGTCCGCCTTCACCCCGGAACTGTTGTTTCGGGCTTGGCGGAGCATCGGGCCCGCCGGAGTGTGCTCAGCCGGAAGTGGCCGCCGAGGGCCTGGGGTCGGGATCGGCCTGTAGAGCCTCCCGTGGCGGCTAACTAGTAGAGAATCAGGATGGAGGCCGTGGCCACCGCGGCGGCGGCCAGGGAACCCGATGAAGGTGAGGTCCCGGCCGCGCGGAGGCGGCGGGAGGGTGGGGTGCGGTGTCACTGGGAAATGATTCCCCGTGGGCGCACAGGAGGACTCTTTATAGGGGGACACCTGCCCTCGGGTCTACCAGTCCTCTTGCCACCTTGTCCAGATTAATCCTTCTCTTGTTGCGAGCTGCCGTCCTTTTACCCCGTCCTCTCCCCCGAAATTAACCTCTCCCAAGTTCCGGGCCAGGCTGACCCGATTCCTTACCAGGCTAACTCTCGGGTCAACATAAACTTGCCCCCTGTCCCGGCTGAGTCCCAGTGTCCCAGTCCACCCTGCCTCTCAGTTACCTCCCCTGCATCGCACTGACCCTCCCCTTGCCCCAGGCTGACCTTCCTCCTGTCCCACGCAAACTCTGCTTATTCCAGGTTCACGGTTCCCCCATTTCATTCTCATTCCCCTTTCTCCGAAGTCCACAGTGCCATCTGCCACCTCGGGTCCTTACTCCGTTTCTGTGCTCCCTCCATTACTCTCCTTTGCATTTTCAGTCTCTTTATTTCTCCCGACGCCTTCCCATCAGTATCTAAAACGCTTTCGTTTTGCTTATCTTAAAATTTCATCCCGCTGCTTCAGAGTCATCCCAGGTGGGTCGAGGTGTGGTTGGGAGATTGGCTGAAACGTCCCTGGCCAAGCATTGGTCATTGTTGAAGCTGGGTAGTGGGGATATGGGGTGGGGGTGGGAATATGGTCCTCTTTTCGACATTTGTGCATGTTGGAAATTTTCCATTAGAAAAATGTTTTAACCTGGGGCGCCTGGGTGGCTCAGTCGGTTAAGCGTCTGCCTTCGGCTCAGGTCATGATCCCGGGGTCCTGGGATCGAGCCCCACATCGGGCTCCCTGCTCAGTGGGGAGCCTGCTTCTCCCTCTCCCACTCCCCCTGCTTGTGTTCCCTCTCTCACTGTCTCTCTCTGTCAAATAAATAAATAAATAAATAATGTTTTAACCTAAAAAGAACGTCTATCCTTCAGTTCCATGCGCCTTCCGATACCAGTTATCTTCTCCAAAGAGTCATTCACACCTGTCTCTGTTTCTGCACCTCCCACCCACTTGCAGTCTGGCTTTTACCTCCAGAAACTGCTCTAATCAAGGTTGCCAGTGGCCTCTCCGCCCCGCCCCCCCCACCCCGTGTAGTTAAACGGAGTCACCCCATTCAGGTTGTCTCTTACTAGACTACTTGGAGAGTTCAGTGCCATTGATCTCCCCATCCTTCTTGAAAGTTGTCCCTTGCTTTTTTTTTCTTTTTAAGATTTATTTATTTTAGAAAGAAAGAAAGGAGAGAGTGGGGGGAGGGGCAGAGTGAGAGAATCTTCAAGCGGACTCCCCATTGAGCAAGGAGCCCATAGCCCGACTCAGCTCCATCTCAAGACCCATGAGATCATGACCTGAGCCGAAACCAAGAGTTGGACACTCGACCTACTGAGGCACCAGGCGCGCCCCGCCCCCCTTGGTTTCTGTGACACCACTCTTTCCCTTTCCCTTCCTCTCTCTCAGCCTCCTCCCGATCAGCCTCGATCCGTTTTCTGTGGCTGCTGCAGCAGGTGACAAGCTGGGGGGCTTAAAACAAGAGAAATGTATTCTCAGTTTTGAGGGCCAGAGGTCTGAAATCGGTACCACAAGGCTGAAATCAAGGTGTTAGCAGGACCAAGGAGGGGCTCCCTCAGAGGCTCTTCCAGCTTCTGGTGACTCCTGGCGTTCCTTGGCTTGTGGCCACATCACTCCGATCTCTGCTTCTGTCCATCTTCACGTGACATTCTCTTCTGTGTATGTCTAGTCTCACTCGGACTCTCTCTTACGGATACTCATCATGACCCACCTGGACAATCCAAGATAATCTCCCTGTCCCAAGATCCTTAACTTGATCACATCTGCAGACCTCCATTTTTTGGCCATCAACAGTAACACAGGCTCCAGGAATTAAAGCGTGGCTGTCTTTCAGCGGCCCATTTTGTAGCCTTGCGTGGCCTCCTTCATAGGCATGGCTTCTCCCTGTCCAGTTGGGGCTCTTTCCTAGCCCACTCTTCTCTTGTCCCTCACACTCCCCTTGCCCTCCCCATGACCTCTCATTTCCTTCGGCTTTGGTTCCTGTCTTGGCTCCATAGCTCTGTCCCCAGCCCTGCACTTTTCTCCTGAGAAGTCTCTAGCCCCACGGACCAGCAGTCTCTTAGATGCTCCCCTTGGATGTCCCCTGGGCCCGTCCTACCTTCCATGTCCCAAACTGGCCTCAGCATCTCCCCCCATCCCCAGATCTGCTCCTTGTCCGTGACTGTCTCAAGGACAGTTTGACTAGTCCCCAGACCTGAACCCCGGATCTGAACTGGATGCATCCCTCGCCTCCCAGCCCTTCAGCCCCATGGCTTGTCTGCTTAGCCTCCTGAGCATCCTTCTAACTACCACCACTTCCTATGCCCTCCCCCACACCCTCTGCCCTGGTCCAGCCCAGTCTTCTCTGGTCTCGGTGATTAAAACCCTCCCTGAAACCCACGGCACTTGTAACCCTCGCCCCCTCCCTCTTCTCCGTCCCAGCCAAGCTGCCCAAAGGAGTTGCCTGTACTTTGTCTTCTCTTATTTCCTGGCCTCAGCCTCACTCCAGTTCCCACACCTTTTGAGAAACAGTTCTCGACAAGGTTTGCCTAGCGCCCAGCTTGCCTGTTACCAGCACCCGTGTTGTCTTTGCCGGTCCTAGCTCCCCCATCACACTGGCTGTTCCGAGGGCAGGTGTTGGGCTGGCTCACTCCCGTGGATCCTCAGCATGGCCCAGCTCAGGACATCACACAGATTTAGAATTGCTGAAGAGTGGCTGGATGAATGTGTGAATGAGTAGGAGAGAGAGAGGGGGAATGAGTGAACAATTTAGTGGATGTGTTAGTGATTTTGTGTGCAAGTAAAAAGGCAAAGAATTGTATGAGTTAGTGAATGAGGTGGTAAAGGACCGAGTAAACGCACCAAGCATCCTCCTGCCTCAGGGCCTTTGCACTGGCTGTTCCCTTTCCATAGACCTCTCTTCCTCCCAGAATGTCATGGCTCAGTCCCTCACCACCTCAGGTCTCTACTGAAATCTCACTTTTTTGGCAAGGTCTTCTTTGACTGTCCCATTTAAAATTGCAGCCTGGGGGCTGGGGGCGCCTGGGTGGCTCAGATGGCTAAACGTCTGCCTTCGGCTCAGGTCATGATCCCGGGGTCATGGGATCGAGCCCCGCATTGGGCTCCTGGCTCAGTGAGGAGCCTGCTTCTCCCTCTGCCTCTCTCCCTGCTCATGCTTTCTCTGTCTGTATCTCTGTGTCTCAAATGAATAAATAAAATCTTTAAAAAATAAATAAATAAATAAATAAATAAAATTGCAGCCTGGGGCGCCTGGGTGGCTTAGTCAGTGAAGCATCCGGCTCTTGGTTTTGGCTCAGATCATGATCTTGCGGTGGTGGGATTGAGCCCCACGTTGGGCTTGTGCTCAGCGCGGAGTCTGCTTCAGATTCTTTCTCCCCCTCTCCCTCCTCATCTGCCCCTCCCCTTTCTATCTCAAATAAATTAAATTAAATTGCAGCCTTCCCCCACTGACCCCACTCCCCCCTCCTTCCCTCTTCATTTTTCTACATAGCTCTCGGAACCACCCAACAGACTGTATGTTTGCTAACACATCATATGTTTTCAGTAATTATGTTTTTCACGGTCCACGTCCCCTACTAAAATGTCAACTTTGTGCATCCTGTGGTATCTCTGGGACCTAGAACAGTGCCCAGGACATAGTAGATGATCGGGAAACGTAAAATGAGTCTTTTCCACCCACCCCACCTCCCCCACACTCCCATCCCAGGACTAACACATCTCCCCTTCCCCCACAGGTTGCACACAGCCCGGTACTGGGCACTGGGGGGAGCTGAGCTGGACACCGGTCCCACCCAGACCCCAGGACAAGGTGGAGGCTGTGGAAGGAGCGCCAAGGGCCCCAGATGATGACACCCCCGGGGCTGAGAACGCGGCGGTGAGTGCCATGCTGCGCGCCGTGGCCGCCAGCCGCCTGCCTGTGTGCAGCCAGCAGCAGGGCGAGCCTGACCTCACCGAGCGGGAGAAGGTGGCCATCCTGGGCCAGCTGTACCATGAGAAGCCGCTGGTGTTCCTGGAGCGCTTCCGCACAGGCCTCCGCGAGGAGCACCTGGCCTGCTTTGGCCACTTGCGCGGCGACCATCGTGCAGACTTCTACTGTGCCGAGGTGGCCCGGCAGGGCAGTGCCCGACCCCGCACCCTGCGCACCCGCCTGCGTAACCGGCGCTACGCTGCCCTGCGTGAGCTCATCCAAGGTGTGAGGACAGGCGGGCTGGGCGGGCGGGGAGACTGAGGCAGAGGAAGTAAGAAACAAGGATGCAAGAGCGGAGACACGGACAGAGGTCCTGGAGATAAGTTTTGAGACAGGGACACAGGGAGGTTGAAACAGACACATGAAGCAATGAGGGAAGATGGGTAGAGACGGGAACCCAGGGGAAGGGACCGGCAGTTAGAAGGGTCGGAATTTAGTAGATGACACAAGTGCCATTTCACAGAACCCAGCACTGTGATAAGTGGTTATCCCTCAGGAAAACGAGATTCCCTCCCTCACACCATGCTCAGAAGCGCTGAGGAAACCCAGGGGAGTCTGTCTCTGACTCTGGGGACACACAGGCCCTCTGAAACAAGGCATGCGTCTGGAAGGCACGATACCTTCTTGACCGCAGCATAATTACAAGCATCTTTGTGACTAGAGACACCAGAACTAAAGTTGAAAGAGGAGAGCAGGGGCGCCTGGGTGGCTCGGTCGTTAAGCATCTGCCTTCGGCTCGGGTCATGATCCCAGGGTCCTGGGATCGAGCCCTGCGTGGGGCTCTCTGCTCGGCAGGAAGCCTGCTTCTCCCTCTCCCACTCCCCCTGCTTGTGTTCCCTCTCTCGCTGTGTCTCTGTCAAATAAGTAAATAAAATCTTAAAAAAAAAAAAAAAAATAGAGGAGAGCGAACGAGGCAGAGAGCGAGTGAAGATTCTGGTTAGGGTGAAGACTCAGGCCCTAGAGCCAGGGAGACGGAGAGGGTGGGGCACAGCGACAGGTCGGGAAGAAGGAGATGGGAGGGAGGAGGGACGAATGAATGGGGGGTGAGGTGACAGACACGGAACCCGGGAGGGACAGGTGGGTGGAGGCAGAGCGGCAGAAACAGAGCCAGGGAAACGGAGGGAGAGAAACAGAATATGGTGGGTAACCCCAGAAAGAGAGAGATGAATAAGAGAGGAGGCAGGACAGGGACGGTCACAGACCCCAGTGCTGCAGAGGCCAGAATTCTGGGCAGATTCTCACCCTGGGCTCTGAAGGCGGGGCTGGGACCGGTCGGTGGGAGGGACTGGGCAGGTGTAACGGTTTTCTGAGGAACAGAGCCCCCTGCAGGAACAGGCAGCCAGGGGACACAGGAAGGTCCCAGGTTTGGGGTGGTGGAGAAGCCAAACCCACCGGAGGGATCGTTGCAGAGGAGAGCACTCTGGGGAGAGGTGAGATCTGGGGTCTGGAAGACCACCAGGGGTGCCCACATCTGGCCCGTCCAGCTGTGTGCACGGACAGCCACACGTGCTCTGCGTCCTGGCTCCTGTGTGCAGGACCCTTGCCTGTGGCCTCCTGCACGCTGACTCGCAGACACTCCCAGACACGCACGCAGGAGGGTGTGCACCCCTGTGAGACCAGGCACAGCGACGGGCAGGGGCCCCAGAACACCAGCGCCTCGGGGCCCAGGCTGGCCGCGGCCGAGCATGCGCACACAGGAGTACGCGTGCAGCCACGGGGCCAATGACGCGCCCACGCTCAGGCGCGTGTGTCCTCGCGGCCACTGGCCCTCAGGCCGCCGCGTGCTCTCCCGCCCGTCTGAGTGCGCACGCGCATGCCAGCCCTTGGGCGCGCATGGCTTCGTACAAGCGCGATCGTGGAGCCGCGTCTGCTCAGACAGGCTGGCCCCGCGCGCAGGCCCCTGACCCCCGGCGCGCCGTGTCTCCGTGCAGGCGGCGAGTACTTCAGCGACGAGCAGATGCGGTTCCGGGCCCCGCTGCTGTACGAGCAGTACATCGGGCAGTACCTAACCCAGGAGGAGCTCAGTGCCCGCGCCCCGGCCCAGCAGCCGCCCAAGCCCGGCGCCCTCGGCACCCCCGCCTGCCCGCTCTCTGACCTGCTGCTCCAGTCCTACCAGGAGCGGGAGCTGCAGCAGCGGCTGCTCCAGCAGCAGGAGGAGGAGGAGGCCTGCCTGGAGGAGGAGGAAGAGGAGGAGAACAGCGATGAGGAAGGTGAGGGCCGGTTCCAGGGGGCTCCCAGGCTGGGCCCCCGAACTGCAGGAGCAGACCTCTCGTCCCTCCCCTGCCTGACCTGAGTGCCCAGGCTCTTCCCAGTGCTTCCAGCATCTCTGTCCCCCACTCCTCAAAGGCACCCAGCAGTCGCTCCCCTCCAGGCCATTGCCCACGCTGTTCCCTCTGCCAAGAATGCCTTCCCTTCGCCAGCCTCCAGGTAGCAGGTCCTGACCCTCTTCTCCAGCCTCCAGAGCACTGTACTGTCATTGTGTGTTTGGCGTGTGGCCCGGGAGGGCAGGACAGGGCAGGACAGAACACCACTGTGTTCCCAGTGCCACCAGGACAGAGGAGGCGGCTCTCCGTGGTTGTGTTTTCAGCCCTTCCCTGAGTGCACCGCTCACATCTTCCCTGCTGTGGGTGTCCGCCCCTACAGACCAGAGCCCCAGCAAAGACTCGGAGGCCTGGGTCCCCGATTCAGAAGAGAGGCTGATCCTGCGGGAAGAGTTCACCAGCCGGATGCACCAGCGCTTCCTGGATGGGAAGGACTGGGACTTTGACTACAGGTGACTCAGGCTTCCCCCTCTCCCCCGCCCAGCCCCCAGCTGGGCACCCCACAGCCCTCGGCCTGGCTCAGATGGCATAAGGGTCTCAGATGAACCAGAGATCAGTGGGCGTCCTTGGACTAGCTTTGTGCATCTTTGAGCGTCAGTCCCCTCACCTGAAGAGGGGACTGAGCCGGGCTGACGGCTCAAATTTGACAAAATGCTGAAGTATTTGCGTTCGGGTGAGTGGTGGTGGCCTGGTAGGATGCCACTGCCCCAAGCCCCCCAGGTGTCCCCCAGGCAAGCCAGCTTCTTCCTCAGGCCCCCAGACCTCCTCATGCTTCAGGAAGTAGCCACTGGCAGGGTTAATGCCTAGCACGGAGGGTCCTGTGGTGGCTGCCCTGCAGTCTGCTTGCTGTCCCCACCGTAACCCCAGGGCGAGACACACAACCACTGCTTTGGGAAGGATTTTGCCATCAGGGAAAAGGTCACCGAAAAAGTGAAGTATCGGAGTCAGAGATAAAAAGGTTTTGACAACTGAGGCAGTCCTGCCTGGTGGGTGTGGCAGCCGAGGGCCCGGCTTCAAACCCAGCCCCGGCAACACACGAACAGGCCGACCCTCACCAGTTGGGTGGGGAGCACCAATGCCACAGCCCCCAGGAGCACCGCCGGCCTGATCTAGAGCCCCCCCCCCCCCCGGCTCCGGAGGCAGGTCTGGTTAATCCAGACCTTCCGGGTGGGGTGGAGCCTCTCGGCCCGAGTTCCCACAAAAATCGGGGCGCAGAGCACCTGGGCCGTGGGGAGCCCCCAGAAAGCCAGGTGCCCATGAGGAAATTGGGCCTGGCATGAGGATTAGGGATGAGGGGGGATCAAAGCCCAACCCCCCTGGAGGGCAGCTACTGGGCAGTAGGGCCAGTGGGTCCCTTCTCTGCATGCCACTACCATGTGCTGAGCACCTGCTGTGTCCAGACTCTGGGGATGAAGCAGTGACCAAAGCCAATGACGAAAGGGTTCCCTGCCCTGAAGGGAGTCCCACTCTAGTGAGAAAGCAAAAGAAGTTTGTAGCATCTGGTGCTGACGGGGCCATAAAGAAAATTAAGGCAGGGTCCAGGGGCGGGGAGTTGGAACGAGGTGGCCAGGGAAGGATCTCTGAGCAGGTGACGTTTCAGCAAAGACGTGCAGGATGTGAGGGGTGAGCAACATGAATATCTGTGGTCAGAGTGTTCCTGGCGGGGGGAGCAGCAGGTGCAAGGATCCTGTTTGCAATTTAGGATCACTTGACACCTTAGGGCAGACAGTTCTCAGCACCGTTGACCTTTCGGGCCAGATCATTCTTCTGTGGAGCATTGGCCTGTGCGCGGTAGCGAGTTGAGAGGTGTCCCTGGTGTTGAGTCACTGGGGGCCAGTAGGAGCCCCCCAGTTGTGACAACCAGAATGGCTCCAGTTATCCCATGTGCCCTGAGGGGCAGAATCGTCCTGCTTCAGAACCACTCTCTGGGGAGTGGGGGTCCTCCTGTCCCCACATCTTCCAGCTTTTTGAGAGAAACCAGAAGTTTTTATGCAAAATCTCTGCTTTGGAAAATGTTGCCTTTTGTTTGAAGCCCTGAGAGACTCCTAGCCGCTGCCCCGCCGCGCCCCGCCCCCGCAGGGGGGCAGCTCCCATTTACAGCTGCCAGCATGTGGCCTTTGACTTTGGGGGACCCAGCTCCTCTGAAGAGTGAGAAGCAGCCAGGCCCACAGAGCCAGCCCCTGACAGCCCCCTCCCCCTGCAGCACCGTGGATGACAACCCCGACTTTGACAACCTGGACATCGTGTCGCGGGACGAGGAGGAGAGGTACTTCGACGAGGAGGAGCCCGAGGACGCGCCCAGCCCAGAGCTGGATGGGGACTGATGGCCGCCGCCGCCCGCCCCGCCCACGACGCCGTCTGGGGGACAGGCTCGCTGGCTCTGGTGCCATCCCAGCCGACTCCCTGCCCGCTCTGTGTGCGGGGTGCCCTACCTTCCCCCCCGCGCCCCCACTCCATCTCTGACTCTCAGGGTCTCTCTGGCTCACTTGCTTTTTCTCCCTGCCTTGTGTTTCTTGCTTTCTGCATCCCCCGGTGCTGAGAACTGTCTGCCCTAAGGTGTCAAGTGATCCTAAATTGCAAACTAAACCAAGTCTAGTTTGCCCCTCGGGTACGTGCGCGCGCGCGCCGCCCGCAGGCCCAGCGAGCTTTTCTAGCCTCTTTGAGCACCTCACTGTCTTTCCTCTCTGCCTTTCTTTCTGTCCCCTTCCCTGCGCCCGGGCCTCTGTCCCCACGACAGGGCCCAGGCTGAAGGTCGTCCCCTTGACCGAGGCCCTTCGTAGCTGGAGCCGGCCGGGACAATGTCCGTGCCCCGTGTAGGGTCCGGGTGAACCCCGGGCTTCGCCCCGGGCCTCTGCCTGTTCCCCGCCTCTGTGCAGGTGCGGCTCGCGCCTCCCTGCCTCTGTTTCGTTCCCATCTCCCTCAGCCTCGCTCTGGGCCTCTGGCTCTTCCCGCTGTACGCTCCCATCTCTCGGCCCCCATGCTACCTCTGGCCCTCCGTCTGCCTCTCAGCCTCTCTCTCTCTCTCTCTCTCTCTCTCTCTCTCTCTCTCGTTTCAGTGTCGTTCCCCCACCCCCACCCCCCGGCCCGGCTGCTGTGGGCAGCAGAGCCCTGACTGCTGAGGAAGGCGGCCTCGCTGGGCGGGCTAGCAGCTGTCACCTCTCCCTCAGGACCCAGACTTGGGAGGGGGGTGCAGGGGCAGCACCGGGGCCATGGGCCTGCCAGCTTGGGTGTGGCGGGAGGGGGCACAGGGAGGGGGGCTCTCCCCTCTCAGCCCCACTGCCCCTCTCTTTCCCCGGCCGCAGTGTTCCCTTCCTTCACTTCCTCCGCCTCCTTCTCCCTCTCCTGTTTACACTCCCCAAATACGCACAGGCTGTTATCATGGGTCCTGAGTCATCCCACACACAGCCTGCCCCAGCGTCCCTGCCCCCAGCTGGCCACAGGGCCCGCCCCACAGAGCCCCCTGCCGCCCCCGGCTAATGCGAGCCAGATGGCCTCCCGGTGACTCAGCCACTGGCCTGTGGGAACCCAGGCGTCCCGCCTTCCCATGCCCCCACACTCAGCTGCTTGCAGGGAGGGCCATGGGCCACGGGGCAGAGAGGTGGGGCCTGGGGACCCCTCGCTCCTGGGAGCCAGAATGGTGGCACCCTGCCATAGCCAAGCCTGCAGGACCCTCAGAACCACCTCCTCAGGCACACGGCCCAGAGTAAGGGGGAGACCCTGAGGCCTCCCGGGGCCACAGCTCTTGACCCCTGGGTCAAGCAGGACTAGAGCCAGACACAGAAAGTGAGAGCTGGCCTAAAGGCCAAGGGACATTCACACGGAGAGACTTAAATATGGAAGCTCCCAGTTAGCAGTTCTATCCTCCGCCGCGCCTGGCGCCACACTGAATCCTCCTGACAACCCTGTGAACTAGGGACTCGCCTCCATTCCATAGGTGAGTCAGGGGAGGCCAGAAGGGAGGTGTTAAGTTGGTCGAGGCCGCATGGCCAGTGAAGATGAAAAACCAAGTCTAGACCTCACAGGTCCTGGAGACCATCCTCCTAGGCTGCGTGTCAGCTTTCAGGTCAGGGCCACCTGGAGCGGTCGGACGCACGGACTTGCTCAAGAAGACCAAGGAAGAGATGGCTATGGAGGGCGATAGCTAAGCTGGCGGGGGGGGGGTGTCCCATGCGCTCAGCACTGCCCTGCACAGGGGCGTGGAAGTCGGCACCTGGACAGGAAGCATCGCGGCCCTCCTGCGCCGCCCGGACGGCCCGCACTGCCGCCCCGGCTCCCGCGGAAGCCCAGGCTGGGCCGGACGCGCCCTCGGAGAGCCCGAGGCTGACGGGTGTTTGCCCCTCGGGTACGTGTGTGCGCGCGCGCCCGCCCGCAGGCCCAGCGAGCTTTTCTAGCACGGGGAGCAGCCCTGCGTGATGTGCGCGGTTTTGGCCAGTCTGTCATTGGATCGTTGATGTTGTTTGTGATATACTTTGCCGGACGCAGACTTGTTACATAATAAAGTGATGAGAGACAACAGCGGCTGAGTCAGAATTAGGGTTAGTCAGATGGCGGAGACAGAGGTGGGGCCAGTCAAGAGGGACTGCGGGAGACACGCCCCCGGCACAGCCCCCGCGGCTGCGACCCGGAGGTGCCCCGGGGGGCGCCTGGCCCTCCGCCCCCAGCCCTGGGTCCGGGCGGACGGAGAGGCTGAGTCAGGGAGGGAGGGCCCGCTGGGGGAGAGCCCCTCCGTGGGCATCCGGCCCCCACCCCGTCTCCCGTCTGTCGTCCTGCCGGCTGCCGCCCGCACCCCTGTCTGACCCCCCTGCGTGTCCTGCCCTCTCATCCTGGCCCTCCCACCACTGCCCTGCTGCGCCTCTCCTTCTCCCCCTACTCTGCTTTGCCTCCGCGCCTCTGGCCGCCCGAAGCTCCCATCGCTTCCCACCTCGACTCTTGCCCCGCCAGTCCTGCCCAGGAGCTCTGCCACCCCTCTCGCTTCCCTCCCGCTCATCCTCCACACCGGTCCCTCAGCCTCCGTGACCATTCCTGTGCCTTCCTCCCGGAGTCTCCGCCCCCACGTCTCCCTCTCCCTGCGGTCCCCGGCCTGCCCCTTCAGCCCTGTTGGCTGGCCCCTCTTCTCTGTCTCCCAGACTCTGGGAAGCCCAGTGAGGACATCCAGAGGGTCGCTGGTGGCCCCCGGGAGCCCAGGATGAGGGGTCGCTGCCACACCCCCATCCGGGAAGGGGCAGTGAGGCCATAGCCTGTCTGGCCAGAAGGAAGTGTCTGCGCTGTGGCCTGGTCACCCCCGCCCCCAGGACCTGCCGGGCTGCCGCCGCCACCCCCGGGCTGGGGCCGAGTAAACACAGCCGCCCGGCAGCTGGGATATTTATACCGAGGTCTGGGCGCAGGTCCAGTGCCCACCACAGCCCCTGCCCTGCCCGCCCGCCACGGCCAGCCCCAGGCCAGCGTGGCACCAGCCGGCGAGGGGACACACCGCAGATGCAGCCTCCACTCAGCACAGAGGCCTCTGGGCGTGTCGCTCGGGATGCCCGCGGCTTCCCTGGGGACACACCATGCCCCTCCTGCCCTGGAAACACCAGCACAGAATGCAGACCTGCAGGACACACGGCCACCCCACCGAAAACTCAAAACACCTCGAAAATCACGTGGTCCAAAAAAGAGACCCACACCACAGCTCACACGCCAAAGCCACCAGCCCACATACGGGGAGACAAAATGCAAACACCATCTGCGCATGGAGCGGAGGACGTCAGTCTCGGCATGGACACACACTCGCACAAACACACGAGGAGGGTGACAGCAAGTGTGTTGGAGACACACCCCACAGACACAACGTGCTCAGAATAGCAGCGAGACACACACGGATCACAGACCTCCCCCAGAAACAAGCCGCCCAGACACACGAACACCGGGAACTGCCCCCCCCCACACATACACAGCCGCACTGAAAACACAGCTCAGCTAGCGAACACAGAGCACAACAGCTCCCAGAAACACGCCTCCCTCACAGACACCCAGACATGCACAGAAAACATCCACACTTCAAGTCACACTTACCGAAGAACACACAAATTTACACCCAGAGAGCAAGAGCAAAGATGTTGAGAAAAAATGCAGACACATGGCGCGCCCCAGGGATACGACCCCACTCCTACACACAGACTTGCCGAGACACGGTGTCATGTCACAGAGCCCAGAGAGGACACGGGCTTCTAGACAGAAACCCAAAACTCGGACCCACACGCAGCACAGTCAGACACACAGGGGGGACACGTGTTGGGGACGCACACTTGGACAGAAGCTGTTCACACTCAGCACCGCCAGCCGGCGCCCGCTGGTGTGTTAGAAACCCGCATGCTGGACACACAAAATCCACAGCACAAAGCTTGTAGACACACACACACACACACACACACACACACAGAGGTTCTGAACATGTTCAAATTTACATTAGAAACCCAAAAGACACCAATCACGAGGTTGTGGGGAGGGGCTTTCTCTCTCTACCGCAACCCCCCCCCCGCCCCCTCCCTTGCTTGCCCTGCTCCTTCCAGCTGACCCAGCTCCCAGGCCTGTCTGGGGGAGGGGGCAGGAAGGCCTGAGCTGGCCTCCCGGGCCCCGCTTCCTGCCCCGTGGGGGCCGGACGGGAAGCTGGGGCTCCAGCCGGAACCCAGGCTCCCCCCACGACTTCCCTCCCCTCCCAGGTCTGCCCGCAGGAGCGGGGGAGGGGAGCGGGGCTCCCCGAACCCCGGGTCCTGCCCCGGCGCTTGGGCGCAGGGCCAGGGGCCAGGACTCCCTTGTCCCCACGGGGCCTGCCCCGCCCCCCCGCGGGGCCGGGGGTGCCGGGTAGCAGGGCAGGGGCTGCCCGCAGGCAGTCCAGGAAGGTGCTGAGCCCGCAAGTTTCCCTTCCTGGGCGGCCTCCGCGCCAGCTCAGCCGGGCGGGCAGGTGGGCGGGGTGTGTCACGAGGGCGTGGCGAGGGCTCGGGCCACCGCGGGGTGTGCAGCCCTGCGCGGCCAGGACTTGTCCTTGGGCCCAGGCACGGGCTGGGCGTGCGAGGGCCGCGACCCTGGGGGTGTGTCTGGGTGTGTGGGACTGTTCCGTCTGGGACCCGGGGTGTGACAGCTCGTCTGGGTATGACGGGGCCAGCTGCTGTCTGCGCGGCCTCGTGGGACTCCCCAGGCCTCAGCGTGTGGGGCCAAGAGATGTCAGGCTGAGTGGGCACCATCGGCCTGCAGTCTGCGCCACCGTGCCGTGTGTCTCCATGTGTGGCGTGTGTCTGGGTGGGACTGGGATGCGTCAGGTTGTGCCTGTTCGTGAGCGGGACCCCGCGGAGGACGTTTGTGCAACTGTTGGCGGGTCCCAGCAGGAGTCTCTGTTTCACTTCCTGATGGGGCTCTGAGGCTGGGAGGTGTGTGTCTGTGCATGGCACCCT